CCTCCATCCTGGCCAGCTCAGCCCCAGCACGGGGTCTGCGCTTGGCAGACGGCTCAAAAACTCGAGGCGGTGGCGCACTGAACTTCTCAATGGTTCAGTAAGGAGCGATACCATCTTGTCAGCCGCGGAATTCGCCATCTCAGGAGCCCAATCGGATAAGTGGAAGCAATCATCACATTCTCCGTTACATGAACGCTTCGACCACTCATGTCGACTCAGGAGCGCAGAACTGCATTCAATGCCGCACTGCTTCAAGAACTGCTTAACACAATAACCGACAGCAACAGAGCGATGCCGACAAGAACGACAGATGGCAACAATGCACACGCACTCTGAAAACGCATTCTTCGCCAAAAATCTTCCCGCATACTCAGCGATGCCAACAAAAATCATGCTCAGTTGAATTACGCAAAATATCTGGACGACGACCGACATGGCGCGTGCAAGTCGGGTCGTTCGGAGCCCTGGCGTCCACCAACACGTACCGATCATAGTTCGCCATCTTCTCATCTGCAGAAACGAGCGCATCTATGATGGCATTGCCGTCGAGCCCCTTGGTAGTCATCTCATGACTGGAGCGGTGATGACTGCGGATGTACTCCGTCAGCATTGTCGACCCCGAGCACCTCCGGTTGTTCTCGAAGTTCTCCAAGCCCAGAGTGATCACAGCAAACTTCGAACCCTGTGGTGTGGGACGAGCACCGGCGCCAGCAGCCACGGCAGCGACCCGCACGTCCTTGTCGTCACTGGAGTGATCGACGGGCGCAGGCACGCACGTGATCACGTCGTCACTGGAGCGATCGACGACAGCAGGCGGCGCGGCGACAGCAGGCGGCGCAGCGCGGCCTGTGGGAGCTGCGCAGCACGGCTGGTCACAGGCTGCTCGGCACGATATGCGCAACGGACGAATGGACTCCGCAACATGTTCTGGGCCAAACTGATCAAGACGAATGATAAGAAGCCCTGAGCGAGCACAACGACATCTTTCTACCTCACCCTCCTGACTCACGAGAGCGCGACCACGAGCGAGATCCTTCACGAGACCGAGGGAAGCCTGTGCAGGAGGAGACATGAAGAGAGGAACCTGATCCGAATCTGTCAACACCCACTCACGGCGCCACGAGAAGCAACGATACGCAACGGAAAACTCTTCTCACCTGTCGTCTCACTCCCTGCCTGTCCTCGCATACCGCTGCACGTCGTATGATGTCTGCGAACATATTCAGGATAGAAGCCCAATTTCTCAAATTCATCCTCTGCGTTAAGAGTCCAATCTTTACCGCGACAATAAGAATTACAACCCTCGTCTAGCGCGGCCCAAACACCGTCGCCCTTGAAGACATCAACCGTGCGAACCGTAGAAAGAGACGAAACTTCGGTCGAAGCGTTTTGTGCGAGCCATACAACCGACAAGACTGTGATATGTGACCTCTGCGGCACAGTCGCGAAGCAAAGAAGTTAGTTCACCTGTGCTAAAATCACCCGTGCCATCACAAATCCCAGAAAGTATGTCTAGTGAAAGCATTTCGCTCTGCAGAGGGGACACGTTGATCATCCTCAGAAAATTGCTGGCTGAAAATGCTTATGCTTGGATGTTGCTGGAGCGCTCTACTTTTTTAGCCGTTGCTTTATTGTCTTCTGCTAGCTTCCTGTGCTGCCCATCCATACATGTCAGACAACGACAACAACACGCACGAACATTATCTGGAGCACTGCCACGATTGCCCACGAAAGCGCGTGGACACTCACCCGGAGAGCGCAATACCGCGCGCCTCTCCTCCTTGGTCTCGTGCCCGCAACCCGCGCAGGTGCGAACAATGAAACGAGCGCTGGATGCGACTCCCGAGAGACTCTTACAACCTCGAGCAAATGGATGACGCAACGAGGGATCTGCCCGTTTCCTGTCGAGGCCAGCAGAAGAACTCGAGGAAAGAAAAACTCTGCCACTGGAACCTTTCGGCCCCGAAACTTTCACAAACTGTCCGTCTTACTTCCGAGTCAAGCTGATATCGATCCATCCTAAGAACAGAACCAGATCCTCACTTGATGTCTTCACCTTGCGACCCCAGTTCACGCGATCTGGAGCATCCCTGAGAATACCATCAAACTAAGCCCTTTGTGCTGACCCGAAGCAAACACAGCACCCTGACCAGGAACAGGGATGGGATCCGAAACATATTCCCCCTCAAACTCCCCATGAGAAATGCTAGCCATAGAATGAGATTCGGTCGGGCGAACAACCATAAACCCAAGAGTCTCTCCCCCAGCCTCTGCAGAGGTCTGAAGACTCTTCTCCTGGAGCTCTGGAGGCCCCTGAACCGGAGCGCGGCTTCGGTCATCCCATGCAACTCACACTGACATGACCCTCAACGCGGTCGCGCTGCAAGCTACAATGTCCGTCGCAATTCTCCCGCCCACGCAAACATGCCCTGTGACACACGACACGACGAGAAACGCCAGAATCCATCCTCACCGACTCCTCCTTGCCCCTAATGAGATGATGAAGGGTTGGTGATGAACCAGCAACAGAACTGACGGATGCGAACTCTCGTTAGCCATCGCCCTTGCGCAACTGGACATGGCGCTCGCCAGTGCCCCCAGTGTACGCTACCAGTTCGGCCCTGGGCTCGCCCTTGCATTCAGGGCCCCAGGACCAGTGGCCTGTTTCGCGGCAGGTCTTGCATGTCGAGCGTTTCTTGATCTCCCGGAGCCGCTTCTTGCGATCTTCCAGGGAAGGCCCTCCCCTGCCGCCTCCCTCGGGTGGCCAGGGCGTGCCGCGGCAACCATTGCATCCGCTCTTCCTCTGCCCCTGCCCCTCCCATTGGTGCCAAGGTTGGCGACCAGATCCTCTGGGATCGCGTCAGAAGCTGCTATCTCCGCGCATCCGGCCTCGACCATCTCGTCGGCCACCTCGACGTCGAGCTCGATGCTATCCTGGACAGGGGCCCAGTGAGCATACGATTCCTCGTCAACGCAGGCGCATTCGTCGGCATAGTCGTCCCGGGCCGTCTCGTCCCAGCCGTGCTCTGGCGCATAGCCGGACGCGTAGTACCCATAGGGACTCAGTTCCTCCGGGTAATGCTCCTCCTGCTCGTACCATCCATCACAAGCAGTGTAGAAGGCGCGGTGCGGCCTGGAGACGCGCACCTTGCCCTTGCCATTGCTCCTGCTCTGGTAGCTGGGTCTGGGCTGCGTCCACGGCGAAGAGCTGGCGCCGTTAGCAGACTCATCCTTGCCATTTTGGCGGATGTGTACGCGCCCGTGCTGGAGGATCAAAACGTCCTCGATCCGTCCTTGGTCTTGACGAAGGATGCCACATTTCCTGCGGATGTCAACACCATCAGATTCTCCGAAGGCGAGAAGCCTGCATGGTCCCAGAGAAGGGAGCCAAGCACATCGTCGCTCATCCAGATCTTAGGATCTAACTTGGAGACAAGTTTCCACCAGCGCTTCCTTCGGGAGATGTACGAGACCATAGACTCACCGTTCTGCCGAGACAGTGGTCCATATTGCCTCCGCCCTCCGCCCCACCTGGAACAGGATCTTCGCTTCCTGCGCCTCTATGGGGAAGAGTGAAATACGCATAGCCCGCACCAGCTGATCGATCCCATTCGGAGTCAGAACAACGTCCTTACCTATATCCATGGCAATATCGAACGCATCACCTCTGAGGCCTTCTACAACCTTGTTGACAGTTGCGGTAAGCACGTGTTGCTGTGGCGCATGCGTCTCTTGATCCACTGAGGCCAAAGCGGCACTCATGCGCATCTCTGTGAGGAATTCCCACTCGCGAAAGTTGTTCACCGTGCAGTCGTGGATGTAGGAGCCACTCTTCGTCTCGGACCGCGTCAGCGTGTCGGCGCTCGGCCGATAGCGAAGAAAAGAAAGTGCCATGGCGCAAGGCTCAGTCCCCTAGCGAGGGAGACTGCCAGCACAGAAAGGAGAGGTAGTGCGACACTCTCTGACGAGACGTGCGCGCACTGGTACGATACGGGGATCCTGTGGTAGCTCCGATACCAGTGTGATTATGATGCGTTTTAGCGCAATTGCAAAAAGGGGCCCCTAGAGGTCAAATGGCAGCGAGTGGCGCATATACACACGTGACACGTGCACGATCTCACAATCAGCATCATCATCATCATCATCATCATCATCATCTTCTTCATCATCATCATCATCATCATCATCATCATCATCATCATCATCATCAGCATCATCATCAGCAGCAGCATCAGCATCATCATCATCATCATCATCATCATCATCATCATCATCATCATCATCACCATCACCATCATCATCATCAGCAGCAGCAGCATCATCACCCTCATCCTCATCCTCATCCTCATTCCCAATATCCTCCTCATCATATCAGCCCATCAGCATACCCATCCTCATCCTCATCCGCATCATCATACCAACCACCATCATCATCACAACCACCACCAGTGTCATCAGATGGATCGCCATCATGATCATAATCACCATCACCATCAGTGTCATCATCATCGTCGTCATCATCACCACGATCATCATCGTCATCATCATCATCATCATCATCATCGTCAGCATCATCAGCATGATCATCATCATCATCAGCAGCATCACCACCATCATCATCATCATCATCATCATCATCATCATCATCATCATCATCATCATCATCATCATCACGATCACCCTACCTTCCGCCTTCCGTGTTTCCCTCCTCCTCCACATCCCCCTCTTTCTTCCTCTCGGCAGGGGGGGAAGAGGAACCAAGGGGAGAGGGGGATGATAATGAGAGAGAGAGGAGCGGGGGGGGGAAGGGGAGAAGGAGCGGAGGAGGGGAAAGAGGGGCGAAGGAAGGGGGTCAGGACGGAGGGCGGAGAGGGAGAGGGAGAGGAGGACAGAAGGAGCGGTGGAGGGATCCTGGGGCCTCTGGGCTGGCGCCGCGCAAAGGCGGGGGGCGAGGAGGACGACGACGAGAACGTCGAGGGCGACGATCGGCTGGAGCCCGC